AAGTTCAATAACCAGGGGATTGACAACCCTGGGAAGCGCCAACTTGTTTGTGTGGTAAGGAACTGGTGCTAAGACAGCTTTGTGACTCAGTTGTGATGCCTGGAACAGTTTTCTTTCCATGTGTAGTATAATCACTCTAGCAAGAAAATAGGATTGTTTAGCAGGATTTTTTTGTGCGAATCGGTGTTTATTACACAGTCATTACTTGTCCCAATTATTCTTTACCAAATATATGTTCTTCCTCATTAGCTCTGTAACAAAATTAATTAATTGGTCTCTACCTTGGTAGCTTGTTTATTCTTAATTTGTGTATGACCTTAGCCTCAAAGAACTGTGGAGAAGTGCAACAGTTTTGGAAATACGCAAGTTAAGAAAGAATGATCTTCAAACAATTAATGCTATCGGGAAAAGAAAGAATAATCTTCAACAAAAACTGCTAATTTAGGAGCAACCTAAGAAAGACCTGCTAGCTCCTGCTCATAGCTTGCTTAGAAGTTTACTCCTCCCTCTGTTTCAGACCACGGTAGAAAATGAAATTCTCCTCTCTTCTTACACACGCATATTTTTCCCTTCTCCATTTTTTTTTTCAGCTGGGGTGTTGTGTGGGAGTGACGTCAGATCCGATTTTAGTAACTGATGGCAAGATACTATTAAATGTCAAATCTCTTCCCTGCCAATAGGCAGTTTCGGCTTTTGAGCATTTTTGGCATCTCTTCCATTAGTATTTCATGAAACAGCCCTGGTGTGCATGGACCATGTTGCAATAAACTGACAGCGGGACAAGCCCAAATCATACTCTGGCTGCACTCTATGTTAAAGTGCTATGTTGTACCAACTGTGTCTTTTACCTGTGTTGCCATTTTTACCCTATACATGGATGTTGGCTGTGATTGTGGTATCATTGACGAAGTACCATGGAAATGATTGTATTTCGGCTGTCATATTGGTAATTTACACAGATGCCCAGAGAAAATAATAGGGCATTGTGTGCACCCAAGGGTAGGCCTAGTGGTCAATGAAGTGAGTGAGAACCATGAGGTTTCAGGTTCAAATCCCAACGAAGGCAAAAACGCTAGGTGATTTCTTCCTATTTATCCACACCTTGGTGGACAGAGTTACGTTGGGAGGTGACAGGTATCCGTGGAATTAGTCAAGGTGCGCGCAAGCTGGCCCAGACAGCACGATTATTAAAAAGTAGTTATAGGGCATTGTATCTTTGCTCTTCTAAGGAAGTCAGTTTCCTAGAAAATTATTTCTTTTATTGGAGTTACCATGCTGTGGTGAACTTGCAATTGATCTGGAGAATAATTATCTTCATTACAAGTTTTTGCTTGGTGCTTATTACAGAAATCTCTTACATGTTATTTTGAAAGTTGGAGCAGCCAAAATTTTATTTTTTAAATTCTCTTCTTCTGGGACCCACTTAAATGTAGGTGGTAATATTCTTCTGTTCACGCATGTACTGAAAACGTTCCTTCATTTCTGAATGCAGGCTAACACACATGTAAATGTTCATCAAGAGTTAAAGGATGTTAAACTTTGGCAGGTTATTACTTCGTTTAAGATATAGAATAGTTCACTGTCTTTTTTGGCTAAAAAGGTAATTGGCAGTTTGTTTACATTTCAGGTTCACACACTTTTAAAAGGACTAGAGAAAATTGCTGCTAGTGCTGACATTCCAATGCTAGTCTGTGGTGATTTTAACTCAGTCCCCGGAAGGTCCGTCTTTTTCTTGATTTCAAATTCCATTCTTCTTATTGGCATTGTTAAGAGTTGTACCTCCATTCCGTTCCTCATTTTATGCAAAAAGCAGGCTGGAACGGTAACATTACTGATAATACCTCTTGGCAATGCAGTGCTCCTCATGCACTTCTGGCAATGGGGAAAGTTGATCCAATGCATCCAGATTTAGCAATGGACCCTCTTGGTATTTTGCGTCCAGCCACAAAGTTGATGCATCAACTGCCATTGGTATCACTTCAGTAACTTTAGAAAGCTCCCATTTTCCCTCTCATCTTTCAAACTAGATATGTTTGCTTCCCCATGTTCCCTACTCTTCCAGAAGAGCAGACTGGAAAATATGTATTTTTTGTGTTACTCCCTTGTTGAGAAGACCAAATAAGCACCTTGACCATACAACTCACATTTTGTTTATATTGGTATATTTCTGTACAGGTCAGTGCTTACTCATCCTTCGCCCGAATGCCTGTGATTCTTGGACTAGAGCAGCAACGGAGGAGGATGGATCCTAGTACCAATGAACCCTTGTTTACAAACTGCACTAGAGATTTTATTGGGACTCATGATTATATATTCTATTCTGGTATTGTTGCATGATTCTGTCTAAGACGTATTATATTTTTGTCTTTTATTCCCTTGTATGTTTTCGGCATGCAGTCATAATTATAATTAAAATTATAAATTTATGTACCTATCTATAGTTTTTATGTTTATTCTGATATGCGTGGTGGTTTGTTATGTGCTTTCAGCGGACTCTTTAACTGTTGAATCGTTGTTGGAGCTCTTGGACGAGGAAAGCTTGAGAAAAGATACAGCACTTCCTTCTCCAGAGTGGTCCTCCGATCATATAGCACTCTTAGCTGAGTTTCGCTGCAAGCCTAGAACTAGACGCTGACAATTGGTATGCAATAATTATGTTTATTTTGGTTTCAAATACGTATTGCTTGTTTAACCTAAGCCCTTTTCAGTTGTCGACTAAGCATTTTGCCCTTTGAGGTTTACTTGTTACCAGAATTTTAGGGGAATTATAACTTATATATTCATTTGGTGCAGGTCTTGCTGGAGGATGAATTGAAAAACAGAAGAACAAACAGTCAAAAAGGAGAAATATATGTCAATTGTAAGAATGGTAACTAATGACGTTGGTATCCCGTGGTGGGGTAGCTACTCCTTATCATCACATAGAAAATTATGATAGTTTATAATCAATTTCTTTCTTTAAATTTTCCAAGAGTCATCCGGTTCGTGTCATTATATGTTCTTTAGACTAAAGGCACAATGGGAAAAGAGTTCCAGAGTCTGAGTAGAGAAGCTAGGAGTAGAGGAAATGTAGTTCAGTTTTGTGGATTTAATTTACCTAGCCCTATTTCCTATATTGTTCAACTACAAAATGATTTAACTTTTGCTCGTGTAACCTTGAAGGTCGGAAATTCTGGTCTCAGGGACTCTTCGATTTGTATAACTGGCTGAAAATCCTGAGTCATGTATAAATATTTACTCCTAGGTTATAAAGATAATAGGGCATGGGCGTTTCAGGAAATTGGCATAAAGATCGGTACATTTGCTATTCCTGCCAGGAGAAATGGCTGATTACATCTAGTACTATTTTGTTGTATATTTTTATACAATTTTGCTGGAATTAACGTTATAAATTAATCTTAGTTTGGCCTTATACAATGGTTGAATAGATCATTAAATCTAATCGGAGGGGTGGGGTGGGGGCTTTGGGTTCCAAACTCCATATGGGGAAGGAGCGTTGTTTGCGAGGTCTTGATCATTTACATGGACCCACTTTTCATTCCATTTGTGGGAATTTGATGATCTATAAACCGTCCCTACGAGCGATCGGTTCATGTTTGAGCATGATGAATCACTTCGTGCCGACCTGTTGCCAATTATATCAATTTTATGTTTTAGTTGCATGGTCTTGTTCACAGGATATCAATAAAACTTGTATGGGAGATCGGTAAGTAAAATTCATAAGATCTTTTCAGTTATTTTCCTTTTCAAATGGTGACTTGGCATAGGAGAACATTTCTTCGTATCAGGTTGGAATAATAAAATGCGGGTTTCACATGATAAACTTTGTTCTCAGGTGGGGTGTACAAAGGAAACCAACAAACCGTACCAACTCGATAATTCGAGTCAAATCGAAAAAAAAAATCCGACTATGGTTTGGTGTTAGAAAAAAAATCCAACCATAATTGGTTTGGTTTGGTTTTAACTAAAGAAAGTCAAACCGAAACCAAATCAACCCGACATTATATATATAATTTTTTTAGATATATTTAATATATAAAAATACTTATTGTGATGTAATTTATAAATATTTCTTATACTTTTTCATAATTTTATCTTTTAAAGTATTATTTTAAGGTTGGATTTAGAACTTTTGAATGTTCCAATAAGTTTTATAGCTATTAATATTAGTAACTTAAATAATGCTAACAAAAGTCCAAACCAAAATCAAATCAATACTAATGTTAACAAAAGATATTCAATTAAATACTACGAACGGCTATGTATTGAATATCTATTTTTTATTTTGCAATAATTTAGGTAAAAATGCATAACCTATTTTTATTTTTTCTTTAGCGTTTAGTCATGTAATTAATACTCTCTTATTAATCTACTTGTTTTAGCATGACTTAGTACTTTATTATGCTACGAAGATTTTACCGGAAAAAAACCCGAAAACCTGAGATTGAAAAACCCGAGTTTTATCAGTTTGATTTGGTTTTTAGATTTAATAACCCGACACAATTGGTTTGATTTGATAATTGCAAAATCCGAACCAACCCAACCTATGTACACCTAACACCCCTATTGTCAGGCATCCAGAAATGAACTCACGGACGTAGTAGCAAAGTACGTAGTACATAATTATATTAGTACGTATTTTGTAATAACTATATTACTACTCCTAGAAGGGTCTTCCTCCCCCCTAAAAAAAAAAAAAATTAAAAATTTCATAATTCTCAACTTGAAAGTTGAATACCTCAATTTCTGCAATACACGGTGTTGTTTGATGTCAATTTTGATTGCTTCCCAAATCCATTTTCCAGAAAGTGTTACAATTCATGATAGAGAAAGGAACAAGAAGAAAAATAAAATAAAAGAAAGAGGTAGAAGTAAAAGAACGTAATTGATAGTACAAAGCTTGAGAACTTGATGACGTGTATAAGAATGTCAATATCTCAGAATCTTTTAATTGTAAAACTTGGAATAGCTACTCACAAGAAACCTTATTTTAAGCCAATCAGTTCAAAATCTTGTTCCACTCACTGACTTGCTTAATTTGGCTTTTGAAATCCGATCCACCCCCATCTCTTGAATCTTCCCTAATTTTCTGGAATACAATCTTTCAACACTCTTTTTTATTTTTCTGGCTTGTGCTGATCTATTGCCTATTGTTTATTTTCTTCTTCTTAAGCTAAGAGTCTTTCGGAAATAGCCTCTTTATTCTTACGGGGTAGGGGTAAGATCTGCGTACACTCTACCCTTCCCAGGTGCGGGATTTTATTGGGTTGTTGTTGTTGTGAATCTTTCTAACACTCTAGGGAGCTCTAGGTATTATAAAGCGTTCTCCCTCCCCCGGCAAAAACCCACGCCAAAAAAGAACAAAAATTAGAAAAAGGACAGAATTAAATCCTTTAACGTCTACTCATGGCATTCCCTAGTGTTACAGTATCAAACTTTATACTTATGTTGTTGATGATTGGTTTTGCAAGCTCTGATTTTGCAGAGGATAGAAAAGAGTGCCAAAACCAACTGCTTCATCTATCATCTTGCTTGTCTTATGTTGGTGGAGACGCTCAACTTCCCACCCCAGCTTGCTGTGCCCAGCTCAGAAAAGATTTACACAAAACCAAATATTGTCTTTGCCTTATTGTAAAAGACAGAAATGAGCCAAATATTGGCTACAAAATCAATGCCACCTTAGCACTCGGTCTGCCGTACGTCTGCGGTGCTCCAACTAATGTTTCAGAATGCCCCGGTACGTAATAACTCAATTCACTATACTAATATTTTGTCCTTTTTGAGCTGGGATCGCATAACTTTAAAATATGTCCAAAGCTTTTTTCTTTATATACTTAGCATCTCTCCCGTGTTCTCTGAGATTTACCTAGGTTCCTGCAGACAAACTATTTCATCCTTGATACTAATATTTGAAGCTAATTCTAATTCATTTGTTCTGTGATAGCAATTCTAAAACTTGCTCCTAACTCACCGGACGCTCAGGTTTTTATCGACTTCGTCAGCCACTCCAAAACTGGAAACAATGCAAGCATAGGCGGTATAGTATATATTTTTCTATAACTAGGGTTTACAGCATAGCGCTGTTATTTCAACACTAATCCAGTTCTTAACAGCTTTTGACAATTTGGTCATTGCAGATGTCCAGTCAAGTTCAAGTATCAAATTTAGCAACAAGAGATGGTTTGCTGCAGGGAGAGACGTTGGTGTTGCATTTTGTGTTCTGATATTTGTTATGATCACCATGATTTAGGAAAAGACACTTGAACTTTATATGCTATAACTTTGATCCTTTTATCTTGTGAATAAAATGTCAATCGACGTTCAATCTGATCATCTTTTCTATAATATTGCTGCTTGATTGCTTCGAACTGTTCTAGCATCGACATGATTTGCTACTCCTCAACTAACTGATTCAGCGGAGTAAGTGTCAAACTAATTATTAAGTTCTTCAAAGATCAAGTTTTCCACGTTTCCTTGTCAGTTCAAGTGCACTCAGTAAAGGGTGATTGTGATGAATCATGAGAGTTCGATATCTCAACTGAAATGTAAGAGATAGAGAGGTATTTGATTAGTGAACATTGTAAATAAGGCACTAACAGAGCTACACGGTGTCAAACTGCAGTAAAATTCTATCGTCGATGGTAAAAGATATTGATGGAATACAAGTATAAACAGCAGAAGCAAATACCATTGATCACTTGCATGAAATCTAGATAACACATAATCATAAATTTTAATTAAACATAAATTAATACTTATATCTTGAANACAATTAGATCCGCTCTTCATAGACAAACTTGGGATTTGCGATCCCAGGTAAGATCGGTTCAGGATCATGGGATCCTTTTCTATCAGATAGGAAGGGCTGTAGCACAAAATGTACTTCTAAGTAATTGCCCCATAGATCCTATATCTATCTATATGAAGAAGAAATCATGTAACGAAGGGGATTCTTATTTGTACAAATGGTACTTCGAGCTTGGAACGAGCATGAAGAGATTAACGATACTTCTTTATCTTTTGAGTTGTTCTGCCGGATCGGTCGCTCAAGATCTTTGGTCTTTATCCGGACCCGATGAAAAAAATGGGATCACTTCTTATGGACTCGTTGAGAATGATTCTGATCTAGTTCATGGCCTATTAGAAGTAGAAGGCGCTCTGGTGGGACCTAATTTTATGACAACAACCATAAAATTAGCCTTCAAGCACGAGAAAAAATTGTCTACGAGATCATCCTTCTGTTTCAACGAATCAACCAGCAGTTTTCCAATTCGTCAACCATATCAAGACACTACCAGTTCCATGCTGCCGTGTTACCCGAATAATACCTAAAATTTGTGAATATTGTGTGGGTGTCACGACCCGAAATACCAACCGTGGGGCCGTGATTATGCCTAACATCTACGTGCAAGGCAAACCAATATTAGCTAATTAATTAACCATTTTAACAGTTTAAAAGCATAACAATAATAATTAATGGCTGATAAACTCTAAAATACATGAGATAAATACCAAAAGTAACACAGTCTATACTAATCCCAGAAATTCGGAGTCACAAGTACATGAGCGACTAGAATACTGCAATTATAGTGTGAATGAAATACATTTGTCTGAAACAAGATAAACAGTAAAATAAGGTAGAAGGGGATTTCAGGGACTGCGAACGCCAAACAGGACTATCTCATGTCTCCTGGGCAAGTTAGATTCGAGCATACTCCTCTACGCACAACTGGGACCAACATCGGGATCTGCACAAGAAATGCAGAATTGCAGTATGAGTAAAACTGACCCCATGTACTCTGTAAGTGTCCATCCTAACCTCGACGAAGTAGTGACGAGACTATGACATGACACTCACTATAAACCTGTACGTGTAATAATAATAATAATAATATAAAATAGAAATATAGATAAAGCAGTAAACTCATATATACGGGACCCGAAGGTCAACTAACAAAGAGCCCCAAAATAACATCATCTTGTAACGTCATATCACATTACAAAAATAGAGTACTACAACTACCTACAGTTATAACACATCATACTCCATTGCGGCGTGCAACCCGATCCCACATAAATATAATATCTGTTGCGGTGTGCAACCCGAACCCAATATCATATCATTATCTGTTGCGGCGTGCAACCCGATCCCAATATTAATTCCTTTCAATAATATTGCGGTGCGCAACCCATTCCCAATATCAACTCATTAACATAAACAACTCAACACAACCAATAACGTAATCTCAACACAAAAGAAAAATAAAGCGTATAGAACATCAAGGAACTACCAGTACAAATAGAGAATAACCAATACTTCGTAATCATAGACCTCGACATTTCATTTATACAAGAACAACTAAATGACTCACGCAATCGGATCTAACATGATAAAGTGTAATGAGCAATGTAAAGGCAATAAAGTCAAGTAAAGACATGTGACAATAAAGATATACAATTAATACATGCATGAACATGTAGCAGGTAAGTAGATATTGAGCGAGAAATGAATAAATCAAGACAGATAACAAGTAAGGCAAGGATAACAAGCAAGATCATGTAGCAATCAAAGCATGTAACAAGATATAATATGGAATAAGTGATGACATAAAGGTAAATAGTCCAACCCCCATGCTTTAACCCATGGCAACGCATATATACTCGTCACCTGGCATATACGTCGTCTCCACACATAATTCACGTAGCAAATAGATCAACAAGTCCTAATTCTCTCAAGTCAAGGTTAAACAAGATTACCTCTTTCCGTAACCAAATCAATACTCTACCATGACTTTTTCTTTAGAACAAGCCTCCAAACTAACCGAATCTAGCCAAATATCGTTCAAACAATTGAAAATAAGCTTTAGAAATTACTCACGAGTGAAAAAAATTAATTTTTAGCTAAATTGAAAAGTCAACAAAAGTCAATCCCGGGTCCGCTTGGTCAAAATTTGAGATCCGAACCAAAATCCAATTATCCATTTATCCCCGAGCCCGATTATGTAATTTATTTCAAAATCCGACCTCAATTTGAGGTCTAAATCTCAATTTTACATAATCCGTAAATTCTATCCAAAACCCATAATTTCTACCATATAATTTATAGATTTGATATTAAAACCCATGAAAAGTAATGGGGATTGATAGAAAATGAAATAGAGTTCCTTACCAATGAATTTGGGAAGAAAACGTTCTTCAAAAATTGCCTCTAGAGTGTTTGGGGTTGAGAAATGGTATAAAATGAGCTAAGTCACGATTTTTTCCTCTTTTACCCAGCTGCAAGTATCGCAATTGCGAAGCCTTCATTTGCGAAACACTGATTGCAAGAGCGACTAGTACAATAGGCCCCAAGAAGTCACAATTGCGACAAAAGGTTCGCATTTTCAACCTCCCCACGTGCACATTTGTGATCAAAGCTTCGCATTTGCGATCAAAACTTTGTATAATCAAAGCTTCGCATTTGCGATCAAAACTTCGTATTTGCAAGTTGGCCAGCCTTCCCAAGTGTCCCAAATGCGACAGGAACTTCGTATTTGTGGATCTCCCACTGTCTGCATTTGTGATCAAAACTTTGCATTAGTGAAGTGCCCATTCCCTAGCTCCATTCACAGATGCAAGCAGTCACTCGCAAAAGCGAGGCTCGCATTTGCGAGACCTGCAAGATGACAACAGGAACAACTATGCATCAACTATTTCAAACTCATGTGATGTGCCCGAAACTCACACGAACCCCTCGGGCTCCAAACTGAACATGCACATAAGTATAATAACAACCAACAGACTTGATCGCTACCTTAAATCATCAAAATAACATTAAATAACACGAATCGACCATCAAAACTCAAGAATTTCAACTTAATAACTCATTTTCATAATTTTTCACATAATGCGCCAAAATGTGCTCGGGTCACCCCGTACCCCCAACCAAATGTGTGTACAAGTCCAAAAACATTATACGAACCTACTGGAATCGTCAAAACATCGATTCGAGGTCGTTTACCAAGAATGTTGACTGTGGTCAACTCTAGCCTCATTTTAAGTCAAAAGTCATATTTCTTCAAAATTTTACGTAAAACTTTCCGAAAAACAATAGGGACCATGCACACAAATTAAAAAACATCAAATGAAGTATGAGAGGGTTCAGAATATAGAAATTAAGTCTAGTTCTCAAAATAACCTATCAGGTCATCACATTCTCCACCTTTAAAAGAAACGTCCGTCCTCGAACGGACATAGAAAAGTACATGGACTGGTAAAAGGTGGGGGTATTTACTCCGCATATCAGACTCGAACGCCCACGTAGCCTCCTCAATCGGCTGAACTCTCCATTGCACTTTAACAGAAGGAAAACTCTTAGATCTCATCTTTTGAACCTGCCGGTCTAGAATAACTACCAATTTCTCCTTATAGTGATGCGCTCCCACTTTTACTTTGGTATCTCCAATCTCTAAGTCAACCCGCCTAGTTTCTGATGTTCATACTTCACCTATTGACAATTTAAACACCGAGAGACATAAGAAACAATATCCTTCTTTATCCTTCGCCACCAATAGTGTTGTTTCAAGTCACGGGACATCTTCGTGACACCTAGGTGAATGGAATAGCGCGAACTGTGAGCCTCCTTAAGGATCAACTCTCTCAACCCCTCAACATTTGGAAGACAAACCTGGCCTTAAAGCCACAAAACACCATCATCACCAATCATAACCTCCTTAGCACTACCCCGCCGTACCATGTCTTTCAACACCAACAAATGAGGATCATCAAACTGGCGAGCCTTGATGCGCTCCAAAAAAAAATACTGTGCCACAACACAAGAGAGAACCCGACTAGGCTCCGAAATATCCAATCTCATGAACCGATTGGCCAAATCCTGAAACATCCATGGCTGGTGACCTCTCCACTACCGGTAAATATGCCAAACTGCCCATGCTCTCAGCCTTCCTACTCATTTCATCGGCCATTACATTGGCCTTCCCTAGTTGATATAATATGGTGATATCATACTTATTCAACAATTGCAACCATCTCCACTACCAAAAATTAAGGTCTTTCTATTTGAACATGTGTTGGAGACTCCGCTGGTCGGTATAGACCTCACATGGAACGCCGTATAGATAGTGCCTCTAAATCTTCAGCGCGTGAACATTAGATGCCAAATATAAATCATGCACATGGAAATTCTTTAATTGTCCTTCAACTGTTGAGATGCGTAGGCAATCACCATGCTATCCTGCATCAACACCGGGCCAGCACAATATGTGATACATAACAATACACGATATAAGATCCCAAACCCGTAGGTAACACCAACACTAAGGATGTGGTTAATGAGTCTTGAACTT